TAGGATTCCTGGTGCGTTTGCCCTCTATCTTTGGCAATGATTCACAGCTCTTAGCTCACAGGTGGCCGTGGTACAACTAAAGCAGATTGTTATGTGCCAGCTTTTGTGAAGGGGGCAGAGTGTCAGTAAAGTGTGGGAGAGAGTGAAAACAATAGAACCACACCAGAGCGGATTGTCTGTCACTGGCTTGTCCTTTGTTTATAATGTGAAGACTCCAACACACCTACTGTATAACTAGTGTTTGGTATTGATTTAAAAAAAAAAACTAAAATGTTTAATAATCATTAGACAATAAAAGAGCAACATTAAAGGCCCCATATAGTCTAAAGGTAGATGTCCATGTGTTGTTTGATTATAAAGCAGGTCTTGGTTCTATATTAATATTGTGAAAGTATCAAAGCTCTGATGTGTAGCAGATATAATGTTTCCATTTATCTGTCTTAGTTGAGGGTGTTAGCTTGTTAACATTTCCTAATTAGCAGTTAACACAAACACAGCTGAATTTATTCATTAGTTATGCATGCAACTGGTTCTACTGATCGTCACAACGATTACAATTCATCTTGTGGGGAACATGAATGTCTATACCAACTTTAATGGCAATCCCTCCAGTAGTCATTGAGACATTTAATTCAAAAACATAATAAAGCTTTATCTTCTTAAGGGCAGCTGCAAGTAGATGGCAACATTAAAGCTGATGTGAATTTGTTCAGCCAAAAAGAAGCTGCAGTGGAATCAAAATCATACAAAATAAACTTGTTGACCTCCCACGTACTGCTACAAAACATTCCCCAGTGTTACTGGCCCTGATTTTTCCTGTTACTTTCCCACCTCAGCTGTGTGGCTGCTGCTCCAGGCTGAGTCATGGGCTGATTGCTAAAGCTGGGCTTGAGAAAGAGTGGAAAGCATCTGTCTCAGCGTGACGGGTCCTTGAGAGCCGAGGCTAGATGAAGTGTGTGTGTGCTGGCTAGAGCCAAGAGGCTATTGGAGCGCTGGAGCGTTACATTAGCAGAATGACTGATGGGGGTGGGGGGTGGGGGGTAGCGAGCATCTTACTGTCAGAATGTCCTCCTGTCCTCGGTCTATTTGTCCTTGAAGAGTCTCCTAAAAGTGCTTCCTTCCCGTTACCTTTCTTCTACTGTCTTATTGGCACATTTCAACACACCTATGTACTGTTCCCTAACTGCTAAAGTAAACAAACCTTATATTTGTGCACATAACCATGGATAAAAACATATTGTCCAAACTATATTGGATTGAAACTAATGTAGTGCTGCATCTTTCACCTTCATGATGGTTATAATGTTCAGTTTGTGTTTAAACTGTTTCAGAGAGGTTGTTTAAGCTTTCTTCACTCCATTGATATCAATGAGGGCAGGCTAAATAACAGAAACACCTTTCTTTATAATATACATAGTTCAACAGCACCACAAGCTACATCCTTCAAAATCAACCTCAATGAAATAGAACACCACTTACAGAACGCTGCAGTATTTCATTTCATTCACACAGTATTCCTCTGTGCTAGTTCTCAGTACAGTAAAACCTCAGCCTGCTTTTATTTCCTAAACCCTACACCCTATTTTCTATTACCACTAGTCTGTGGATTTCATGCTTTGAACTTGAAACAGCCGCTCCATGTTCCTGTGAGGAAATTTATGGCAGTGTTTCAGAGCTCTGATTGGTTTGGACGAGGTTGCCCCTCCTCATGATCAAATTACTGGCCTCAGCACAGTGGGTATAGGAAAGCAGGGGTAAATCAAATGATGTATTTCTAACTTTTATTTATCCAGCAAAGGGTGACGAAACATATTCCTTTTTTCAGCTGTGTTTCACAAACCACTAAAGCCAAAGTCAGTGAGCTGAGCCTGTTATTTCTACTCATCACCTTCAAAGCATTAAATGGCCTTGCTCCAAATTACATCAAGGACTTATTAACACCATATGTGCCTGGGTATTTAGATTGGTGGAGGGAGCTCTGCTGGTTATTCCTAGGTCTCGGCTGTTGAATACAGGTGACCAGGCCTTTGCTGTGACAGCCCCCAAACTGTGGAACAGTCTACCTATTGAGATCAGACAGGCTATATCATTAGTGTCTTTTAAAACTATTCTTAAAACATTCTTTTATTAGAAAGCTTTTATGAATGTTTCATATGTTATTGTGTTTTATTTTCCCGTGATACAGACATTTTATATTTTGTGTAACTTTTTTTTTTGTTTTGTTTTTAATTCCTGTTTTTAATTCCCCTTTTTCTTTCTCTAAAGCACTTTGTAACTTTGTTAAGAAGTGATTTGACACGGGAACAAATCCCTGTGGCCAAACAACCGGGTCAGAACCTCTCTGAAACAGCAGGGCTTGTAATGTGCTCCCGGTCGGCAGTGATCAGAGGAGGGACAAACCACAAACTGGCACGTCATCGATACACAAGGGCTATAGAGGCTACACCATTTGGTCCACATCGAAAGAAGGGCTGCTGTGTCACAAGTCGCATAAAATTTTATGGTTATAAGAGGAATATGTCACAACACAAAGTGCTTGGCACCCTGCTGTGAATGGGGCTGTGCAGCTGCAGACCGGTCAGAGTGCCTGTGCTGGTCATAATGTGGCTCATCAGTGTATATGCCTGTTTAATGAGGCAGCATGTTCTTCAAACAATCCCTGGATCTGCAGTGTCAGGTCATAACACCTCACCTCACGTCAAAATGCTGCCTCTCTCTCAGCTGGCTTCTGCCGCCCCCGATAGGTTGATCAGGTATAACCTCAGGTGGGGCCACAGGTTTCATACCATTAAAATATCCACACAAAACAGCAATCAGCATAAGTGGCTGTCTGCCTGCCCTAATCTTGAAAGCATTTTTAGGACAACCACGTGTTGTTGGTGGGCAGCTGCTCCACGCAAAATAATCTCCCCTAAAGCAGAGAGTGTAATTAACAGATGGTCCCACTTGGTCATGAAGTCATGTCGAGGACTTAGCAGACAGTGGTGTCAGTGCTGCGGACAGTGGGGTTAAGCCTGTGTTTTATTGTGTGCAGATGCAATGACTCTATAGAAGCAAAGAAGAAGTAGGTAGAGTTCTGAGTCTGTGAACAGGAGGCGGTGAACAGATTTGTAGGTGGGGCAGCTGACGTGGATGGACAGATGTACATTTTGCTTTTGTGCACCTCATGTTTGGGCCTGTGGTTTCGTTCTTTTGTTTTTGGATCACAGCTTTATCTTTTATTTGAAATGTAGTTATTTGGCCTGAGGATTTATTTTGTTTTGTTGAGTTACAGCTGCTCACAGACTGTTGACTCAGCAGAATCTGTTTTCTTCATTCTACATTCTTGTTATCCTTGAGTGAACTTTTGAGTGTTTTCCAACCTATATTACTGTTAGAGTTTTTTACAACTTGGACGTGGTCTTTTATCAGGTTATGCCAGAATCAGTCGGCACACTATTTGTGGTCAACATTGTCAGATCAGGAGATTGTATAGTCGGTAAATTTCAGCTGTGACTCGGCAGCCTACACTCTGAACAACCCGTCACAACTTGTAATCTTTCATGATGTGACTGGAAACGATCAGCATCGCTCAGCACTCTTTTTTTTCCTTCCCAGGCCGTAGAAAGAGGATGGGTGTGGACGTGCTGTGAGGATCAAATATTCACACTACAAATTCTTGTGGCCAAGAAAATCACAGTACATGGTGTTAACACAATATTGGATTTTTCAGAATTTAACAAATACTGCAACTTTGTTTGGTTTGTAGGTTAAAGTTGTTATGGCAGAACATTTTCAAAATGTGCACAGATATTATTCATAACATTAGAGTAGATAATTAGATAAGACATTATTTCTCTTTTACCCTGGCATGTTTACAGTTGTATGTAGAAGAGTGCTCTGTGTTCCTTTCCTCTAGAAATTGTCAAACTAGATGAGAAAGAAAATGTACCATTAGAGGTAAAACTTGGTGTCAGAATTGAATTGATATATGATTTAAGAGCTTATAATTGGGCATAGGCACTGAAGTTTGGAATGTAGTGGAGTGGTCATTGGATACTGGATCAATTTAGTTCATGAAGGCACTTAGTAGTGACAATAAAAATGTTGTGTCATTCTTGTGTCATGTTTCACACAAACATAAACCGCTTTGATTTGTCAGGAAAAACAACTTCCTGTTGATTTGCGGAGTTGAGTGTTTTGATATGTGAGTGTTGTAACAGCACAGGAGCAGGAAGGTGTTCATCTAAGTTAAGTTTGAAGAGAAAAGGCAAAGGATAAGTCAAAGACAGACCTGCTGTGAACGTTTTCCTGTAACATCCCACCCTAAATATACAAAAGGTAGTCGGGTCACATTCCTGTGGATTCATAAAGTAACCTACAACAGGTATCCTCACTGAGGTACCCTTGAGTAACTCTATATCTGGTCCAGTGGAGCGGGTAAGTGGCAGCTGGCAGAAACTTTCCCTGGATAAATAAAGGTCATACTCGGACATTTCTATAGGGAAAGGAGCTGAGGGCAGACAGATTTAAAGAATGAATTTTCAGGACTCACTTGGGAAGGAAGCTGACAGACTGGCTGATCCTCCATTCACCTCTGCTTGCACTAGAAACAGGCTTTTTATTAAAGCCCTGGAGCTACAACACCTTTGTTTGGGTGAGAAAAGCCAGTGGGGGATGGTGAGAAGGTTTCTGCTGCTTCAGAATCTATGGCAGAAATGGAAAAAATCTGTGTATGATAGTGCAGCCTGTTTGCTCTGATATGTGATAGATGAGTAGGCATGATGAGTCCCATCTTGCAAACTATCCATCCCACATGAGATTAAAGAGCACTTTGAAAAATTCTGTGCTATTCCAATCCAAAAAATAGCATGCTTTCAAAACAACTCGAAGGCCTAGAGGATTGAATTTTGAACACATTGCAGACTTAGAACTTACAAATGACTAAATGAAAGAAAATGAAACACATATATTGTAATGTTGTCCTGTTGTGGTAACACACTGCTTCTCCCTCCTGACAGATATGCAGTTGTCAGAGCAGCGTTGACAGGCCTGACTCTGGTTTAACACGGCCATGGAGTCCTCCTCTGAGTCCCAACAGGAGCCTGAGAAAACTTTGGTGAGTCAGCACGCTGTTTTATGTAGGTACAGTTGCACCTGAACATGTATATGAAGATATTCATTCCACAACAAGAGTCTAAATAATGAATTTAAAAAGACTTTATGGCGCTTTCAAAGAACAACGTATGTCCTTTTAACTGCTATATTTCTTAAAGATTCTGACTGATGACGTCTACATATACTACATACAAAGAACTTACACTATAATCTGTGGGTGTCACTTAAGATAAAGCAAGTAATCTTGAATCCACCCACCCTGCGTCATTGCCTCTTAATTGTCTCTAATAATTGGTGGTCTTCTTCTTCACTTAACCTCCATATAATCATGAGTCAGAAAAGGTTTCCTGTTTCCTGCTGTTGTCAATGAAGAGATGGGTTGCTCCACAAGTACACTCTCTGAACCTTAATGATTAGCTTAAGGTGCTAATATTGCTAACCTGCCACAGGCTTGTCAGGCTGGCGGTGGCAGACACTGCACTTTGCTGCATGTAATTAAACTCCTGTCAGGGCGTGTGTCAGTAGAAAGACAAGACAGCTACAGTCGCTGTGGCTGCAGACGATTAAAGGTCACAAGAGGTGTGTTTTTTTTTTGTTTTTTTTTTGTCTTCTTTCCCTGGAACAGAAATGATGATGGAACAGTGAAAATGAAAAACACATAGTCAACCACAGTTCTTGTTTTTTGTGCAGTAAAATGTAAAGTTGTTGCAATTTCCTGTTTGGTGTGGCAGGTTGACAGTGGCCTGCTGGTGGCAAACCAAGCTAGTTCCTCATCAGTCGTGTTTCTTTTTCTGTGTGATTGTCTCCAAATCAACCTCACAGCAGGCATCTTCTCAGGCATCTGTTATGATCATAATAGAGTACATACATTCTGAAAGATGTTCTCACGCAAATAAAGGTACAAACAAAGGTGGCGAACATGGCCTGACGTATAACATTTGTTTAATCAGACACAACAATATCATTGAAACCTGAGTACTTAAAACAAAACGGGAAACACACTAACAAACACAATCATAAAAATAGCAACAGAAACAATATCTCATCTTTAAAAAAGGTTTAATTCATCGGGGGGAAGAGACATGAAATTCTTTGTTCATTCCATTTATATGGTGCAAAGAACTGGAAGGCAAGTTCACTATCACCTGAGGGGTATCAAGTATTAGCCAATCCTGTGATCTAGTCTGATGAAGAGTAGTTTTAAATTTGAGAACAAATGCGATATACTGAGGCAGCTGTAATAGGAGACATTTATTTACAAAAATGATAGTGTGTGGCAGTGTGTAGTCCTCTTATTGTGAGGACCATACAGTGTAGCACAACGTTAAACTGTATCGAGTTGTTTTGCAGGATATTTCCAGTCAAGCACACACATGATGGTCAATCGCACAATAGTTTTCATGTTCTTATTCTGATGATTTAGTTTCTGTGTCACTTGATCCAAATGAGTTAACACTAATTAAATGATGTGAATTTTTAGTATCACTGAGAGTATAAATGTGGATCTGAAACGATCAGTCAGTAAATCGAGTTGATTGTCCATGTGTGTCCTTTGATGTGGGTTCATGGAAACTTGAAGCTGGCAACCCTCTCCCCTTCATCTCCTTTAATGTATAGAAAATAGAGGTCCTCGCATTGTCTTTTAAAGCCTATGATGGGTTCTGTGGTTTATTTGATGTTCAGTGATAGATTATTTTCTGTACATGAGCTTGATCTGTGTACGCTGTCTCGACCCTGTTGTTTATCGGGCGTGTTCGGATGTAGTACAGATGTAGTACAACAGACAGGTTGAAATTTAATTTTTTTTATTAATAAAATATTTTGTCCTACTTTTATTAAGCACAAGTTTAACCTTATGCAGAGAAGTGGAATATAATCTAGAAACATCTTGATTTAAAGAAAACCCATTTGCATACGAAAATGTATCATCTGCATAAAGATGTATTTAGGAAGACGTGTTGGAGTAGGAATGTTGTTTATGTGGATTCTAAATATCAATCGACATAAATAACCGCTTATTTATTACATGGGAGGTCAGTCTGAGAGTGTCAGTACAGATTAGCTTGCGTTCAGTCAGACATGGACCAGCTCTGAGCAAGAGCAGCAAAACCATATCCTCACTTTCTATCTCATACAGGAACGTCTACATATTCTAATGTGACTTCCACGTACACATTCACACAACCACACATAAAGCACCACTTCCCTCCTCTCAGATCCCAGGTCTGTAATTCTGCCCTTTCATTTCACCTTAATCATAATCCTCAGTCTCCATTTTTGCAGTGAGCGGGAGGGCAATTATAACAGCTGATAACTTGGGTGATAAAAAGTGCTAGCCATTGCTCCCACAGGCCTCCACCCACAATGACACACAGTTGGATTGTATAGGAGTCGATCTAAAAGCCCTTTCCTACTTCACTGCATCTTGCTTTGAGTGGAAGTGAATTTTAATAATACCCGATCTCTGTTATTAGTGCGAGCTAATTTCTCACCCCGCCTTCTATGGAGCCTATTTTAGTTTCTGCATAATGAAACTGCTGATGCATGAATTGGTTTGAAAACCATGTCTGTGTATTTACTGTTCCTTTTGAATGCTTTCTTCTGGATTGAATTGAATTTGATGAATGTGTACCTCTCTGCGATTTAGCAATAAACCTCCTTTGTGGAGACTCCTGGACAGTTTGTTATCACTTGATCACACATTATAAGCGATTGCGGTGCCAGGATGGTGTGAGACTCAGACTGTGGGACGTATTGTGTTGCTGGCATGTCCTGCTGTTTGCTGAAAGAGCCTGTTGGTAGAGAGGATGGCTCCCAACACGAGATGAAAGGCTCTGGGAAGCGCGCCAGGTGTCTGCCGCTTCTCCCCTCGCTCTGACATCCTCACAGTCAGGAGACGCTTCAGGAAGGATTATGGCAGCCCACCCCCCCCTCCCGCTTCAAACATCCACCACCATTCAGTCTGCTGTCATTTGCATTGTACATACTGTAATGAAAGCGCTGGTGACCTGCTGTTCAGAATAGGCAGCAGTGAAAAGGCACATAGACAACCATTATGCACTTTAACAATGGCTTTGAGGTAGCTTAGAGGTAAGAGAAGAGGATCTGTGACCAGAAGATCATTGACTGGGGGGGATTTCAGCAGCTGAAGTGAATGAGAAAAAACTTTTTATCCGTGGTTGCTGTTGAATTGCCCTTTTGCCCTCTGTTTCTGCACAGCTTTACAGTTGCTAACATTAAAAGACTGGTTGTACTGGGAAATTTCCAGATGTGAATGCAAGACAGGATATTGCTGGGAAGAGATATGAGCTTAATTATCTTCCACAGAAGTTAACCATTCCCATCTGGTACAGCTACACCACGTGTCGAACCCCATCAATTTTTCTTTCAGTGCTGACCAGTCCTCTATAAATGACCAGTACACAGTTTTTTAATCAACCTGACACTCTAGCTACAGGACAGTAGCAGAGGACTTGAGTTTGAAAGTAGAGGATTCTGGCCCAAGAGTGCATTTCCTCTTGTTTACTGCCCATAAATACCCACATCGACGGTCTGTTTTGGCCAAGATTACTTTGATAATAAAAATCGACAAATGGTGCAGCTCCTTAATGGACTTTTTTCATGCGTGACCGGGAGCCCTCCGCTGCTCAATGAATCATCAATGTGAAAATCTGAACCGATATGAAAGGTTGCTGACTCTGGGGGTTTACCCAGGTTCGTGGAGTCAGTAGCACTTTTAACTTTTTAGCCACGCTAGCAGTGTGGCAGCGTCTCAACAACTGTGTGGGTTGTCATGAAATTTGATCCCGGAGATACACTGACTTTTAAAGGTCCATATTTTACACTTCTCCAGTGTGTTATTTGAAGTTTTGATCCATAAGAAGATATATTTGTGGTTTAAAGAACCATCTCAATGTTGTTTTACATCTTCTCTCTCAGGCTTCTTTCTAGTGACTTTGTTGTGACTTCACAAAGTCCGACAAGTCCTGACGGCTGGTTTTAAGGCTCAGCTTCTGAATAGAGGCTGTGTGCATTTCTCTGTGGACTGAGCGCTTTGATACTTTCACTGTATTGATATAGAACCTAGACCTGCTTTATAATCAAAGAAGAGATGGACATCTACCTTTATACAATATAGGACCTTTAATCTAGCGCCACAAGCAGGTCAAAGTTTTCATTTATACAGTGAAGTATCTTCATATCTACAAGATCGATTGGCAACAATTTGGTCAAGACTTGAATGTTTTCCAGACAGCATTCTAATTTAATAACTTAACAGTATAACTAAAAAGTATTTGTACCCCTGAGAAGTTTTAGTGTTTTATTATTTTATAACATTTAGACTTTAGACTTTAATGTCAACTTGAGAACAGATCTCTACAAAGTGACACCTCTGCTTGAAATGAATGGGCACAAACTTGCTGCCGAATGCCTATATAATAATATTGAAACCGGTCATCTCTTACTTAAAATGCAACATGCCTTGTGGCTGCGTCGCATTATGGTCAATTGAGTGTTCTGTTCTGTTGTGGTGAAGGTGATGTCTGTTCCTCTTCTATAATCAAGTTGTATTACAACTGGTACAGAACATGACAGAGTAATATCATCAAAACATGATGTTTACTATTGATGTTATCAGTCCTAGACATATTGATGTCATAGACTAATGATATCTGACATAGTCAAAGCTATGCTGGAAAGCTATGCCTGCTTTTGAAAAGTACAAGCAAAAGAAAAGTGTCCCAGAAATGCAAGACGCAATACCAATCACTATCCACATATAACTTTTAATATCACAGTATTGATTAATCTTTAATGTGCTACTAAAAGTAATTTCTAAGTGGCAGAATGAGGCACAGGGTCTTGGTTCTCAGATTTACAATGCCACATAATATGACAGGGATAAGCTACAGGAGGCCGCAAGAAGCCAGAGGTGAAAATTGGCTCCAGGCTGAGGCTCCATCAGCTACTGTACATCAGGGGTTGAACTCAGGGAGCTGT